GGGCTCTGGTCTCTGCCCTCCCCATCCTCTCCTTGGTGACGTTCCCAGGGAAAGGCTTGGCCATGCACTTGATGTCAGTGCTTGCCCTTGACATTCCCAGTCCCTGTAACTTTAAACCTCTCCTAGCTGGGAAATGGATGATTTCTCCCCAGTGAAAGGAAAGAAATGGCACAGTGAAGCCCAGCCCCCTTCTTGCCCCGAATGTCAGTGAATTAGCCATTTCTGTGCAGTGGGGGAGGGGCTAGGCCAGGAGAGAGGGGGTGCCTGCTCTGACCTCTCCATTCCTTTCCCCCCGTTTGCATTCTAACTGTTCTCCCGCCTTGCTCCTTAGATGACTCCTACATCACGGGATCCAGAGTGCACCTCTGTCCAAATCTTCCAGATTGAATTCTTTGGGGACCCACTTTGCCCAAACATTGGAACAGCCACCAGGCTGATAAATCTCCTTCACTTATAAAATCCCTAGGAGCCGTCCAGGTGCCAGTGTGGGCAGGTGATATGGGGATCACTGGAGGAGAGTCTCAGGATGGCACTCCTGGGGTGAACCCTTTGTCTACTCAGCAAGTCCTGGAATTCTTCTAGGTGGCCTGTGGCTCACAGTGGTATTGGGTGTCAATGCTGTTCCTGCTGCCAGGTTCTCCTCTCCTCTGGGGACTGGAAACACGACCTCCTTGGCTCCTCTGTCTTTGGGTGGGGCCATATGACTTGTTCCAGTCAAGGAGTGGACAGGATGTGACTTCTCGGCTAGAGCCTTGAATCACCTGTGTGAGATCCTCCAGAGTTTCCTTCCTCCTAACTAGGTGATGTGGCCACATTGTCAGGTCAAAGTCACGCTCAACCTGGATCCCTGAGTGATTCCAGAGGGCAGAACTGCTGCCAACTTTGGCCACGTGGCATAAGCAAGGAATATGTTTTTCTGGTGTTGACAAGATGTCGGATGGTAGAGTACTGCAGTATCACCCAGCGTATCCTGACTGATGCCATCATTTGAGAGGGAAGAACAGACTTTCTTTTGACATGGGTATCAACGAGGCGTGATGATTTTTTTTTAAAGATTTTATTTTTTGTCAGAGAGAGAGCATGCACACAAGCAAGCAGGGGGAGCAGCAGAGGGAGAGGGAGAAGCAGGCTCCCCGCTGAGCCAGGAGCCGGATGTGGGGCTCAATCCCAGGACCCCGGGGTCATGACCCGAGCTGACCCAGGCGTCCCTGAGGTGTGATGATTAAACAAGCATTGGCATTAGGGGATACTGCCCTTATCACTGCTGATTGTGGATATTACAGAACTACCCAAGTGGAAGAGAAAAAGTAGAAATGTGGGATCTGGGTAAAAGCATACAAATGACAATCACTATGAGATCTCCTCTGAGGTTTCTTGTTCCTAATGACGAGGAGGCCGGAACAATTCTGCATCTCATTAGGTAAATTGCCCATCACTGGTTTGGGTTCCCGAAGACTCTAGGGCTATGAGCTAGATAGAGATCAGTGAGCAGGAGGTTTGTTAGGGAGTGCTCCTGGATTAACAGCCCTCAGGAGGGAAGGGGTGGGAGGAGGCAGGAGTGGGCAGAGGGAGAAGCCAAGCCTCCCTGGAGTCTCAATGGAAGACTCAGCCAAGGCTGGGAGGAGTTCTGAAGGTGGGAAGACCCTTTCAGAGCTCTCCCTAAAGGGCGGGGTGTTTATGTTGATTGGTCACTGGACACGGTGCCCCAGGAAGGGGGTGTGGCTTTGGACCTGGTGGCTCTCATCAGCTGCCGCAGGCCCTAGGGGCACCAGGGTGTTTGGCTCCAGCCCAGGGGCGGCTCGCATGATAAACGTAGAGAACTCAGTAAGGCAGCCTACAGCAGTGGCCTGGATTTTGGAGGGTGGGTATGCATCCTCCTCAGGGGTAAAACTCTCGCTCAGGAGAAGCAAAAGTAACTGGGAGTGATGATTTATCCTGGGGACTTAGCTGTGTCACTAGCAGCTCAAAGCTGCCTGCAGGAGGCTTGAAGAATGGGCTGGAATCTGGGGTTTGGTACGCACGCACACATACTGACTGGCCTGTAGTAAAATTCATACTTAAGACGTGTTTCACTACTGAGATGATGCAAGCCAAAATCGCCAGAGGGCACAGACCCCACTGCTGCACCTGCTGGGCCCGACTGACTCTGCCGGGTGGGCAATTCCACCTAAACAGGGACCAAAAGGACACTGGCTCCCTCCTTACTTTGTAGCCTCCTGCTTGGGGTTCTGGCTCTCAGAGAGCAGCCAAAGTCAGCATAAAAAGGAATCAACCAGTCCGTTGGTTTTATATATGCAGAATAGGTATGTGTGTGTACACATACATGAGGACTCCATGAGCAGTTCTGAAAATGTCCCTTTAGGAAGGTCTATTGTTGCAATAGATACTGTTTTTTAAAGATTTGATTGATTGATTGATTGATTGATTGATTTGACAGAGAGAGACACAGTGAGAGAGGGAACACAAGCAGGGGGAGTGGGAGAGGGAGAAGCAGGCTTCCCGCCGAGCAGGGGGCCCGATGTGGGGCTCAATCCCAGGACCCTGGGATCATGACCTGAGCCGAAGGCAGACGCTTAACAACTGAGCCACCCAGGCACCCCGCAGCAATAGATTTTGATATTCCAAGCCCACCCTAAGAAAGTATTCATTAGGGCCCATCGTAGGTACGTATGCATGTATGCATATATAGTATGTGCAAATATTATACACATACAAATATATATATTTTTTCTATTAAGTGCCTCTTTAAAATTAATGCTCTCTGGTTCTTTGGGCATATGGCTGCACGGAATCTGACAGTGATGGGGTGGGGGAGGTTGGGGGGTGGCCACAGGAGCAGACCTTGAGTGGCTAGCTCCTAATTCTGGGAAAGGAAGTTTTTGGTGATGAAAAAATACCAGTTAGGAAGGCAGAAGACCAAGACTTGTAGTTGTGTGATGGTAGACAAAATGCTAAAACCTCTTCAGCCCTCAGTTTCTATCTTGGGAAAAAGCAGGGAGAATGAGTGTGTGTGTGTGTGTGTGTGCGTGCGTGTGCGCATGAGTGTGTGTGTGTTGTACCAGGAATACTTAATGTGCCTTCCAGAATTACAAATACTGTGATCATAGGAAAATTGACCAAGGTTAGCAGCTATTGGTTTTCTCCTGCTAGATACCGCAGGGCTGGAAAAGAATGCAGCTCACCAACCACCTTGCTTTGGAGCATAAGAAGATATACCGTGACTTGCAAGGCTAGCAGGTTTGCATTACATTGAACTTCAATGTCTGGACGGGGAGGAGGGGAGGGCCATCACCCTCCCCTCCTCCTCTCTCATGGCTGGCCTCTGCTAGAGATAGCCCTGGATTCCAAAGAGCCAGATGGGCAGTTGAAGGTGCAGGGCAATGACCCAACCTCTCCTTCAGCTTCCTGTGGAACAGGGGTCTCAGATCTTTGATATCATAGAGACATGCCAAGATAAAAGGAGGCTACGCGTTTTGGAGGTTCCCTTCTGCTAGCGCACAGCAGTTCTCAAACTTGAAATGCATCAGGATCTCTTGGAGTGCTGGCTAAAACATAGATTGCTGGGCCCTGCCCAGAGTTTCTGGTTCACTTGGTCCTGGATGAGGCCTCAGTTTTGCGTCTCTAACCAGTTAACTGCTGCTGCTGCTGTTGCTGGTCCAGGGACCCCACTCTGAGAACTACAGCTCTAGGACAATGTCAAGTATTCACTCAAAAATGGGGAGGAAATAGAGCAAGGGAAAGTAGCTTTTAATATCTTTTTAAGAGGCTTTTAAAATGGTTTTTATACTGAGTCAATTTAAGGACTTTTCATTTATTCTTCTTCTGAAAACTGGGAAAAATCTGAAACTACTGCCCAGCAGATATCATACCATGGAAACCAGGAGTGAGGAAAGCCTTGTGATCGTGAACTATTTAGCCACTAGGAATTGACCTTAAAAAAAAAAAATCTATTAATGCCAAAATAATAACGCAGGTTTTAAAACTAGCTTTTGAAATGTGCTCATAGGCTGACACTTACACACATGAAAAGGAAATCGACATGTTTTTTAAAATGGGTCATTTCCATGAAAGATACCTGGCTCGGGAATTACTGATTTTACTGTTTTGGCATTTTACTGGGTGTTTCACAGACTGTGAGGCAGGGGACAAAAAGACAAATGACATAAAACCCTGTATGCCACCGTGACAAATGTCAGTGAGGCTAAGGGGGGTTGGCAGGGTGGGGCTGGGTGGTTGCTGGAAGGCAGCCTGGTGAGCCCTAAAACAGTTACCATCAGGGTAAGTAATATAGTTTCCATCTCCTGCCTGTCCTAGACAGGCAAGGGGAGACAGATTGCACTAGCCCCTCTGTAACTCTGGAGCATCCCTCCCTCACATTTCGGGGCAACACCTTGTAATTCTTGGATTCCTTTTCCTAGATCAAATAAAGAAAAAAGCTACATACGCATCTCTGGAGGAAAATGTCTGTATTAAAAGCCAAAAAAAACCACATTAGTACAAGAAACGCCCACCAGGCCACGTCACGGGATAGATCGACTTGGAAAAGGTTCATAAAGTTCATTTTTAGCGGTAACAATATGTGGGTGTGAAATCCTTCCCATGCCCCCTCCCCTTTTAAATAAATTAAAAAACAACTAACTTCAAATACTATGTTTGGATACAAAGAGCTTCTCTTACTACAGCAATAGCAATTTGATTTTTTTTTTTTACTAAAACTTTCATTTAAAACAGTTATTAAATATATAAAACAAATACACAGGATTTGGTCATTTTCTGCCATGAATGTAGGGCACGTGGGTGCGGGGAGGGAGGAGCGCAGGGGGATACAATAGAGGGGAAAGGGCCCCGTTTCCCTCCTCTCTGTCTTCCTAGCTGCGGATCCCACCCTGCGGGCGCAAGGACTGCCACCTGCCTTCCGGAACGACGCGCGGCACGCAGGTCGCTGGGCAAAGCCGCTGGGGCCCCTCCGGCGGCCCCCTCCCCGGAGGAAGAACTAACGGTCACCACAGCACGAAGCACACCGGCCGAGTCTCCCGGCGGGAAAGGCACCCGAGAGCGCGGCCACAGGGCGGACGCGGGGAGGAGCGGGCCGGGTCACTTGGCCGCCGCCCCCGAGGTGACGGCCGCGGCGGCGGCGGCGGCCGCGGCGGCGGCGGCGGCGGCGGCGGTGGTCC